GACAGCTCTGGTTGGGCATGGTAGGACAGGGTGTAAAAATCTAGGTTGTGTCAATGGGCAATGAAAGGTGTAAATTGTGTTGACGGGCAGGGCTGGAAGCAACCCACCTTGTGGTGTATTTGAATCGTGTTAACAGGGTAGGAAAATTTTGGCACTCATTCATTGGTTGATGTTTAATGGCGTAGGAAAATGTTGGCCATCTTTCATTGACAGGTGAAGTTTGAGGGAGTAGTAAAACAATCATTCCTTGACAGGTGAAGTTTGAGGGAGTAGTAAAACAATCATTCCTTGACAGGTGAAGTTTGCCAAAGAGACTCTGCCCATCACAATTGACGGTGACCACTCTACGGAGGAGGACAGCATACTGTTGACAGACATCGGCCTCTCTCAGCAGCCGTCCTGCTCCGAGGTGGACAGTGAGACGGCCGCCCTCCTGAACCAGAGCCCGAACAATAATCCCAACCTGCCTGGTCCAAAGACTGGAGCTGATGGTCTGAAAGACCGTTGTCCAGACGCCAGCAAGACGGCTGCTGCTGTTGATCATGATGGTCATGATGAGGACGACGCGGCCGCTGAGAAAAGGTGTTTACTGAGACGAGCGAGAGACAGCGAGGTTTACTTCAACGAGGATGAGGATGACTGCGATGATGATGACGAGGACGAGGAGGAAGATTTGGACGTGCAGTCGGACAGTCGGTATACGTCTAGCTATGTCACGGAGAACACAGAGGACAGCTTGACCGGAGCGCTGGACAACAGGGTGAGTCTTTTCCCCCCCCCCTCTGCGTAGCTAAGAGTCTTCGTCTCACTGTGTGTTTGTAAGTGTTTTTGCATAGAGCACAAAACGCAGCTGATAAAAACTTATCAATTTTTGGCCATATCACCCTGTAGATCAATCCATTCTTGGCTGCATAGACAGGCCGAAGGTCTTGAACTTGGATGGCCGCTGGATCAGAGAAATTAAATGAAATAGCTTAGACCAGTGCTTGCCAACCTCAATGATGATATCTCTCGCAAGTGGGTGGTTTGGTAATTTTGGTGGGCAGTGGGGATCACAAGGGTAGTGGCAGGGGCTATTTAATGCCCTGCCGGAGATACTCGTAAGTGGGCATAACAAAAATGTTAGCCTATCAAAGGTGACAAAAATGATAGCCTCTTAAAGATGACAAAAGTGAGCGTTGGCTTTAAGAAAAGGCTGACAAGCACTGGCTAAGAGTGATAGCTATTAAAACCTTTGTTAGTCACATGTTGAATATTGTCTGTTTGATGTTTTTAGGCTTTTATTTATTCATTCTCTATCACACATTTGTGCATTTATTCATAGTGTTGATGAGTGTTTGGTTCTAGTATAATTGTGGCCTCCCCTCCCTCTTTCACAATTGTCTGTGGATCTTTTGACAACTAAGAGGAAAATCTAAGAATTCTTTCTCGTATCATCCCAAGCCCTTACGTCTAATCTTAACCCTCAACTTAACAATAAAATAAATCATCGGATCTTATGTCTTAACTTGTGGTATATTTTTTTTGTAGCTTTATTAACATTATGAATATGCTTTTTAAAAAAAAATTGGAAGCAACTCTTCCCGGAGATATATCTAGCTTTGACAGTTGTGGAATGATATCTTAGGAGCACTTTTTGCAAGTGATAATTCTACTTTTGGGCTGGTTGCTTTCCCATTTTCATCCTATTCCTGCCAGAAAGTTTGCATTCATCTGGATTTATGTATTGAAAACTCATATGGACTTAAAACCCAACTGATTATCAGATAGAATGTTACAGATCTACGTGGGTGTACTCACAAACCTGTTTGTAAAGTCGTCGGCTTCGTGGTGTCCTCATGCGTTTTTAGTTAGTATGATTCTTTGCTTAATATCTGTGCACTTTTAATTTAGAAGAATTTTGGGGGGGGTTTTTTGTTGGGTTTTTTGGGGGGAGGGGGGTCGTTATTTATATGTGTTGTAAAGTTTTTGTTATGTAACTGTGTGTTAGTCTACGTGAGACTGTGTGTTACAATAATTAAGTGTTACGTTTTTGAAGCACGCTTATCATGTCAAGTGTTTGTTTGTTTGTTTGTGCATGTGTAAATGATGGTGTGTTTATCTGTGTAGTCATTGGTTAAATGTGTGATTGATGTGTGTCTTATTCTCCCACTGACCTGTTATTCAGTTGTTGGATATCTAAGTGGATTGTTTGTTCGTTTGTGCATCATGTGTAATTAATAGTGTGTTCGTCTTTGTTTGCCATTGGTTAAATCTTGTGCATTGTTTATTTGTTTACGCCTGTGGAAGTGATGACGCACGTTCCTGCTTCACCCACCGACCTTTTGTTCTCGTTGTTTTACCTCATGTGGATTGTTTGTTTATTTGTTTGTTGTTTGTGTGTGCATGTGTAATTGATTTGATGATGTGTGTACCCGATTCCCCCACTGACCTGTATTCTTGTTGTCTTACGTCATGTGGATTGTTTATTTGTTTGATTGTTTATTTGTTTGTTGTTTGTGTGTGCATGTGTAATTGATGATGTGCGTACCCGATTCCCCCACTGACCCGAGCTCCCATTGTTGGCTGCCTTCATCTAGAACTTATCTGCAGAGGTCAATGTACTCTCCGGCAGCCTCCACTGGCGAGCTGAGTTTGAAGGAGAGGTATTAACCCCTTGACTCCCGTTCTGGTTCCTTTGGTTACGCTCTGCGCTTTTCTGCTCTGAGAATGAACTTCCGCCGTGTACTTTAGAGACATTTCTGCTTTACGTTTTGAGTCCAGTTTCTCCGCTTGGTACAGTTCATGATATATCGATGGTGTCTGGCACCATCGGGCCAACTCCATAATTTTATCAATTTTTTTTGGTTTGTGTTTGTTCTTTTTGATTTTGGCATGCTAATTTTCCAGGATTTTGTCATATGTTTCTGCTTGTACATTTATTTATATTAAAAAATATTTTTTGCATGCCAGTTTGCAGTTAATGCAAATATAGATCTAGTCTTAATGCCATATGCATTATAGTGCGGTAAAAAATTCATGACGGAACTCATTGTCAAATATCTCCCCAACTGTCGAACAAATGTTCTCCAATTTTTGTACAATGACTTGTATCAATTTGTCTTAATCGATCAACCTTTTTGTAAACACCTGCTAGCTGTATTCTAGAAAATTCCTAATAAATACTAATAAAAAATCCAAGTTTTTGGTTTCTACAGATTTTTTAATGTTTACAACTGAGGCAATATTTCTTTTAATAACAAGTCCGTCAGGTTTTTCTAATGGGGACATTATGCTTATTGAACGCATGGTTTGAGAACCTTTGGTGCAGACATTGTGTTCACTATAAAAATAATTTCTTGTAACAAGTTTTGCAAGTAAAAGCTGTCATTGGTGAGCTGTGACGTAGGCCATATGTGTAATCAAAATGTGTGTGAGAAGCAGGAAGTGCTGTGAACAATACCATTTTACGTGTGACAGAGATTTCAAGTATTTTATAAAAATTTATGAAGAAACGTTTTTTAATCTAGCCCCAATTGTTGTGGAAAATATGATTTAGTTAAGACAAACTGATACAAACTGCTGTTCAAAGTAAGGATGACATTGATTCACCCGTTAAAGAGATATGTGAGGATAAGTTGTTCGACTAATTTTTGACCGTACTATAGACAATACCATTCGTAAATTTCGAGTCTCTCCATGAGCTCGTTTTAGTGGAGTCCAAAAGTGTATGGATGTGTTTCAGAGTGAGTTGATACCTTTTGTTTAATACTATGTTTTAACACAGTTTTGTAACAATTCAACTAATAGATCTAAATGGAACATTGACGTGAACGTTGAGTTGGAAGTTGTGTCTGACAGTTTAAGTACAGTCTGGGAGATGGCCCGTGTGATCTCTGGCACCTTCGATGTATGCAAAGTTATTGATCTGGGGATTTCAAAAGAGAAAATTCCTTGTAAATTTTTTTAACAGATCTACTTCTTATTTGGATTC